TTTAGGGTTTGGGCCTTTAGGGTTTTGGGGTTTTGGGGGGGTGGGGGGTTTTGGGGGTTTAGGGTTTGGGGAGTTTAGGGCTTTAGGGATTAACATTTTAGGGTTTTAGGGTTTTAGGTTTTAGGATTTTGAGAGAATCCCTTCCCGGCTTTGACATTTATAAAGGGTCTACATAGGGCTTACATTGCCTTATTCCCTGCTAACCACCAGTGAGCAAACCCTGAAAGAGCCACCCTAGCCTCTGCCACTGCCAGCTGCCGACCATCCAAGTGCCCCAGATAGGCCGCCTATAATTTCCAGGCAGAAGTCATGGTTTAAATAGCGTCATTCGTAAAATATGTATAATGATGAAAACTGCAACAGTAGTAATCATCACTGCAATACTCCTGGTAACAATAACAATGATATTGAACAAGGTTCTCTCGCACATGTATGGGCCCCTTTAGGGAAGGTTTGCGTTCTTTCGGATGTAGATGGCGGCTGCCTTTGCCAAGGTTTTCTGCGTGGTTCTTACTTCTATAATAGTTTCCCTTATTTCCCATACTACCCGTATGTTCCCCCTGTATAGTCCGCTATAACCCTATATCACCCGTATGAGTTGAATAGCTCGCGTTTGAACTGTCCGGCAACCACGATTTCTGTTGTTTTCAAGACGTCCTGTCCGCAGTCTATTTGATTGTTGCTACAGTCAACATCTCTGATCATAAGCATCATGAAGGGTACGCCCATAATGGCAGCCATGCAATACGGAAGGGTACAAGCGCTCCTTTACGAAAAAAACTTTAAAGATACACTATTATTCTCAGGTCTATATGAGGTACCCTATACTATGACCATACAAGCTAAAACATACTTGAACAAATTTTTCGCTCCTATACTATAACCATACAAGGGATACGGAACCCATTGGCAACTATCTAAAGTCCCCCTGAAGTAGATAGAATATGGCTTTGGGTATATTCTAATAAGATCCCCATATACCCCATATTCTATCTACTTAAGGGGGACTATAACCCCCCAACACTAAACCCTAAACCCTAAACCTATCTACTTAAGGGGGACTATAGGCTATTAGACTCTACAAACTCAAAGCAGGCCGCCTCGTCTGCCTTGAAGGGTGCATCCTCAGAACGCTGTGGATGTAGGGTTTAGGGGTTTAGGCGTTTAGGGTTTAGGGGTTAAGGGTCTTGTGTTTAAGGGTTTAAGGCTTAGGGTTCAGGGTTTAGGGTGTAGGGTCCCCCCCCACCCCGCTAATCTTACTGGGGCTTGCTAGAGAATAAGGGAAAGTGTGACGCAGGGAGTTTGTGGGATAGTTAACCCCAGCAAGTAATAATGAACCCCCTGAATACATCACCAATTCATATTAGGGGAAATTTCGAGGAAGATGTATTACGAGGAGGAAGGGGAGTACCTGAAGGCCTAAACTCGAATTGCATGGACGCAATCTTATGTGCTACGTGCATCTGGGCGTCATCCAGCCGCTCAATGTGGCTAACTTTCTTGGCACGGTCCAGCCACTCCTCGAATGGAACTTGGTGCGATGTTGGCTTCAGCGTCTCATCTTTGATGAGGGTAGTGAACTCTGTTGCCAACTTCTCGTCGATCAAGCCGCGATTCTTCAGGTCCGAGACCACATCTTCAGGCTTGAAGGTGTAGTAGCTCTCCCGGCCACAAGTGACCACCTTCAGCAGCCCCATCCTCTTGTCTGCCGCTGAGGTCTCACGCTCATGCACTGACCTTAGGCGCTCGGCCAGGTGCTGGGCACCAACGAACACGGTCTCTGGGCTAGCGGGGGAGGGTGCTGCTGGAGTAGGGGCCGGCGTCGCGGGAGCCGCAGAGACTTCGGCCTCCTGCGACACGTAGCCGGCCTCCATCTTGCGGTCGCGCTGCCGGTGGCGGAGCATCTCCCGGGCCCTCTTGGCGGACTCCCGCGCTCGCTTCTCGGTGTTGCGCGCAGCCACCCAACGTTGTCTAGAGACAACCTTGTCTGGCAAAGCACCGGCATTCTTGGGTTCCCGCTGGAGGTGCTTGTGATGCTGATGCTTGTGATCCGCTGGTGGCAAAGCCTCAGCCTCATCGATCGGATGATCTTCGGACGGCTGGATGTGAGGGCTGTGCTTAGCTTCGGTGGGCTTCTCTGCTCCCTCTTCAAGCTTCCTCGTCAGTCGTTGGCGAGCTTGCTGGTATCGAACCTCCGCCTTTTCCATTTGGGCCTCCAAGGCATTCAAGTCAGCCTCGATGACATCCAGCAGCACATCGTTTTTCTTGAGCGTCTGGTTTTCCTGGTCCTGGACCACCAGTACTTAGAAACCATTCTAGGTATACTGCTGTCTGACACAACACCATCCCACCTTCCAGATATTGCTGAAAACCGACTCTAATCTCACAGAAAATCGTAAACCCAAAAGATTAACCCAAGGCCCACGAACGCGACACCATTTCTATGGTATTTTCGTTGCTGGGGGCAAGTGCTTCCGTTTGATGGTCCTGCTTTTGGGCCACGTCGGACCACACCGTCTCCTCCGCCATCTCAGTCCAGTCGAAGAATCGCTGGAGGAATACTCGGATTAGCAAAATGAGCCTGGAAAATGTTGCGGCGCATGCACATGCCTGAATAGCAGCATCCAGGTTGAGTGCTAAGCCACATCAAGCCTTTGACCAGAAAGTATTGCCGCACAAAACCGTGCAGGGTACTATACCCAATCGTTCTGGTTTCTACGTTGCCGCTATTCCTGAATGATGCTCGAGAGTAGAGTGGAATGCTGGTTCCTGTTCTGTCCGACCTCTCTGGGTATGTGAATATCACTCCATCATGAAGCATAGGCCAGAACCTTGAGGAAAGACCGCTGCTGCCCTCATGGTCCCTATATGTTCTTTGTTTTTTAATGCTGTGCTGGCTTCTTATCGTGCTTTCGCATGTACCTTTGACAGAGGAAAAAGTTGGCTTGCTTAAGCTACTGGACGTCCCATCGTTCGGGGCAACAAGGCTGGTTCAAGATTCCGGCCATCAACCATCAAATATAACACGACCAGTAGTCCTACCACTGGCATGGAGGTTTAGGGTCTAGAGTCTAGGTATACAACCGCGATTCGCACTATGCTACTTGCGCTGTTCTCCAAACTTCTGCTCCCTGTACCAATTCGGTCGCTGCTCAAGCTTTCTACTCACTACATTGCTGTTTTTTCTATGCAAGCAACACATCCTGGCGTTTCCACAAGACCTCCTGGCGTGACTGTCCTCGCAAAAAGGACTCAGAATCTTGAAAGAATGCTTGATATCCATACGCTACACCTGCATCGTCCATGCATGCTTGTGCACCTCCTCCCAAAGCCCTCAACCCTACATGCAAGGGCCCAGAATATCAAGGCTCGGACTCCTCCTGCAGGGGCGTGCAGCTGGACAGCTCGGTGCCCAGCTGCTCGATAAGGTCCTAATTGATTGAAATAATAACTGCAATAATAGTCGTAGTCTAGATAGTCGTTTCCATGTTCTTTTCCATTACCCCAATAGACTCCCTATACTTAACACTCCTTGTAAATTAAAGTTTCGGGTTTAGGGCTCAGGTTCCAGGGCTTGCCCGGAGGCTCAGGATCCTGAGGATCCTACAGGAATAAGACGGGACTGATAGTACCATTACAGTATCACAAGATTTGGGTTTTTTTCTACAATGATGTGCTACAGGTTTATAAGAGCCTGTGTAAGGACTTTTCTCAAATGATTTGGGGAATGCAAACGAGTGCAATCCTTTAGGCTTCGAAAAATGAGGCTGCAGCTAGCTAGGTCAATGGAAGAAACCTTGTCGGAATTTCCCCGGTGCTCAACCGGCGCCTAGCTTTGCAAAATGCGCGACTAAGAAATCTCGAAATGCAAGCCAAGTAAGCAAGGCCATGCATCCTGAACTCTGCATCCCTAAGGGTCCAAGTACCTACGAATCATACACTTACCCAAAACCTGCGCTATAATTACTATTACCCAGATCTCAAGTACCTAACAATTGGGTACATGGACCCTAAACCCTAAACCCTATATATCCTTTTAAAGGGACTTAATTATTGGGTACATGGACCCTAAACCCTGAATCCTAAACCCTATGTATCCCTTTTAAAGGGACCTAATTATTGGGCACATGGACCCTCTGGGTATCAGATACTCCAACCATCTCCTCACCCCACCCACAGAAAGTCCTCTGCGACGGACACGCCCGTGGCAGCCCAGCATACCTGACACTTACGGTTCGGAGCTTCAAGGGCTTAGGGGATCCCCAACCCTGAGGGTCCAAGGGTTTAGGGTTTAGGGCAAGGACCCAAATAATAGGGCTTTAGGGCCCAAATATCATTCATTATATAGTATTTGGGCCCTAAACCCCTAGTATTTGGGTCCTTGGACCCTTAGGGCAAGAAGCCCTACTTGTGAGTTCGGCCGTAACAGCTTCTGCTCTGGGAAGCCGAATGCAATGAAAGGTGTCCAAATTTTGGGGATTTCCTGAAATTAGGGGTACCTTTTTGGGGCGTCCCTATCATAAAGACTATAGTATATTGGGGTCTATATTGCGGTCCCCTTATTTTGGGGAAACTACCAAATAATGGTACCGTCCCCTAACCTTTTTTATGTGGGAGTCTCTAAAGGAGGGCTCTAAAGGATGGTTGTTGGAGGACCCTGCCAGACCTCAGAAATTATCTACAGAAACTCACAAATCTTAGGGTTGGGAGGTGGTTCTATGAGGTTGTATAGGGTTTCATGGAAAAGGAAATGGAAACTACTATAGTATATATTGGGATTATATTGGGACAATGGAAAATAAAATGGAACTTACTATTTAGGGTTTAGGGTTCAGCAAAGCATGCCAACACATGTTGTTGACATGGCGTCAGTCCTGCTTATCTCCTCGATGACGTACGCGCGCACGTGAAGTCACAAACGCCTCGCAATTGGCAATAGCAGATGTTTGCTGACGTAATAGCAGTTCCTTTTGGTAGCCAAAACTCAGACATGGTGCCAACAAGACTGATTCTCAACAGGTACTTGCAATCATGGCGGTGGAAACTGACAAAGTAACAACCGTCGGGGCACTCAAAAGCGTGACACAGGGAGAACACGGACAGTGCTAGACTGTTCTTCAAAAAAATCTACCTTATACCCTGAGACTGTGAGGACCCTGCTGCCTGGGATCCCCCAGGGCACAGATTACACTCAGTTGTGCTTCGCCTGGTGGTCCTTCGGAGGAACACATGATTGCCCACGGTATATCTATCCGTCTGGCGATCAAAGACCAAGCAAGCAAAGGAGGTGAGACTAAGCCCCAGGTCTGGCGACTAAACAGGAACCTACATATGGCAGATCTCCCCTGGAATCTGCCCTAAACTCTCTGAACCCCAACCTCCACACCTAAACCGTAAACCTAGAACACCAAAGTCCCTACACTCTGGACTCTGAGGGCTAAACGGCTCAACCCAAATCCTGAGTCCCCTAGCCTGAGGCCATCCAACCAGCCACCAGAGGCAAAGACCTGATCCGCAAGCCACTTAGGGTTGAGGGTTTAAAGTTCAGGGTTTAGGACTTAGGGATTAGGGATCCAAGTAATAGAATAAAACCAATAATGGAGAAGCAAAGGGAAAATGAAATGGAATCTGGGGTTATAGGAGTGGCATGGGCATGCCCATTTGCTTTCTTTTGGCCATGTCAATTCTCTTACTGAGTAGTACTGGGTTGTCCTTGAAGCCCTCTGAAAATTATTTACCATCATGGTTCTCTACAGATTAATAGGGGAAATCAAAAAAAAGATCCCAAAGGACAACCAGGATTAGTACCCTAAACCCTAAACCCTAATAGTACTCTGGACCACCTGTCAAGATCTGAGGCCACTTCCAGCCATTTCTGTTTAACTTCCCGCCCGTCCCCCATCCTTGAAAGAAATGGTCATTACTACAAACTTACTGGTGCTTGGTAGAGAACAAGGGAATGTAGCCCCTATAGAACCCCAATATATAGTATCTTCCCTTATTCCGTACTAACCCTGAACTCTAAACACTAACTTTTGAGGGAGGCCCCAAGCCCAAAGTGGATCGTTGGAGATCCCGACCCTGCCAGAGCTCTTTGCTTCTGGAGCTTAGCATTGAACAAGGGAATAGAATAGTTTAGGGTAGGAGGCACCGGTGACCACCATTGGAGAATTACCAACCTAGATCTCAGATGAGCTGTAGTCTAAACT